TGCTGACTTACACAGTATTATTTGATCTGTTGGGTTCCCTGTGAGAGTGCTACATTATCTATTACATTGTTTCCATATTACAGACAAAGAAATATACTAGTGGGACTGAGTCACATGCAGAATTTGGGACAAGGGGGTGGTGGATGAACTTTGGTGATAAGGTAGGCCTCCACTGGAAGAGTTAGACGTGAGATGGCGAGGTGAGTCCTTCTGATGCTTTGACGTGCTCCGGCATGCACCTTGATCCTATAAATTGGATCCTGTGCTTAGAGATGTAGGTCCCTGAGCCAAGAACGGGTTCAAAAAAAAAAAAAAAAAAAAAAGCATGAGAAGCACCATGTCCTCTCCCTGCTGAATCAAAATGCCCCTAGCCAGGATCATCTAGGACTTGGCCACAAAGCAAAAGTTGGAGCATCCTTGGGTAAGCAATATCTTGAGAAACTATTTAAGTGATAGCATGTGTTTGCCAGGGACTGTCAAACTCCATCTGAAAAGAACATGGCCTTGTGCACTCATCATGATTCTTAATCTTTTTGGGGGGTTGTAAATCCCTTTGGGGGGGTCTTTCCAAATTTGTGGACCCTTTTTCCAAAAGAACTCACATGCACATGCATCATTGTTTTTCACTTGTTGTAACTAATGAAAATGCTAAAGGTATATTTTGGTGCAAGTTGAATTACCCCCAAAGGCTTAAAGCCACAGTGAACATTTATTATCTCAGTCTTCGTGACTCAGGAATTCAGTAGCCTCTGAACTGGGCAGTTCTGAGCAGTCTCCCTGGAGGTTCTCTTGGCCCACTATCATCTGAAGGCTTGCCTGGTGCTGGAGAACCCACTCCCAGGTTTCTCAGTCTCACGTTGGCTAGGTTGGTGCTGGCTGTTGGCAAAAGCTCTCATGTGGTCCTCCCCATCAGGTAGCTTTGATGCCTCACTACATGGCATTTGGTTCTTCTTCAGAGTATGTGCTCTGAGAGAGCAAGGAGAAACCACAGTGTCGTCTTATCACCCATGAAGTCATGAGCCATCCATTCATCGTTCATTTCCTGTTGGATACACGGGAAGCCCCATCCAGTGCATAGGGCAGGGTTTGGGGGTGGAGGGTGATAGAGCTTCAGTACCTCTCCAGCTGGACCACTCAGGGTGCTCACTAACCTATACATGAGGGTCTAGGGTTTCATCACTTGGGCATGATTGGTTAAATCATTGGCTTGGTGACTGGACTCCATCCCCAGCCCCACTTCTATCCCTGAGGTCTGGCGGCGGTGGTGGCGGTGGTGGTGGTGATGGGGTGAGGGGGAGGGGAGGTGTTGAAATTTCCAACCCTGTAAGCATGACCAGCTCCTCTCTGGAAACTCTCTAAGGGCCCACCTGGCGTTGCTTCATTAGCATACACTCTTGTATGGCCCAAATCAGCTCGTCATGAATATGGAGAGATGCCTATGATTCCGCCAGTCCCAAAGGGTCAAGGAGTTGAGGGCCAGGAACTGGGGCCAAAGACCAAACACCCCCCACCACACACACCACCACCACCATTGCATACATTTTACTGCCATAGTGAATACAGAAAAATATTTAGGCAGCAATCATACATCATTTTTATTTTTTATTAAAAAAGTCTTCCTAGATATAAAAGTAGTTCATGCTCATTGCGGAGGATTGGGGGAGGAAGTAAAAAATAAAGAAGAAAAAAACCCTTTGCCACCCTCTAACCCAGTATTTTCTCTCTAGTCCTCTTTATATAGTTATGTGTAACACTTTGATCTTTCTTTGTGCTTTACAAAAGTGATATTTGCTTATTGCAAAGGAACCCAAAGAGTACAGAATGTCTGAGGTTTAAGTTATTTTTTCAAAAAGCCTGGGAGGAGCCTTCTATTGTCGACTGGAGATGGAAGGGGCCCCGGGGCTGGAGGATGTAGGGCAGGGCCAGGGACTAGGGTCTGTGTGAGGGCGGCAGGGACCACCGCAGGGACAGTAGCAGAAGGGCATTGTGAGGGTGCAGTGTGGAAGGGGAACTRAACTCTCCAGAAGAAGGGAGTTAATTTTTATTTCTATGCTAAGACCCACTTCCTAGGTACAGCACTGTTTTCCGGGATCAAAGGCCCTTCATGGGGTGGGAGGGAAATTAAGGAGACATTTAATAAATGGGTTCAGCTGAGCATGTGTGGTTGTAGTACGATCCCAGATTTATTGGTCAGATGGTTTATATATCTTTTCCGGCCTGGACAAGTTGTTTTGACCCTGCTGCCCTGGCTCATTCAGCGGCCACTTAACACTATTTACCTTGTGCGCAGCGGGTGTGTGTGATCCGCTTACCCTGGTACGCTCTGTGGGTAGAATGCACTCTGGCTAAACTCCTGGTTGCAACATCATGGGCCGGGTCTGGTGGGTCTCAGCTGCTTTCTTTGGACAGGGAAAGACAAGAGGAGAATGGAACTTTSTTGAATGAACTCACCGTGCAATCTCTAGAAGGAAGAAACTTAAAACCACTGAGAGCCTCAACTTAGGATAGGTTCATGTGAGCATCTGGCTGGCACCATCTCGAGAGAGACGTTTTAAAGCAACCTTTCTTGACCCTGGGGGAGCTTTAAGATATCCTGATGCCCAGGCCGCGATCCAAGTCCGTCACGTTGGACAGGTAGAGCTCGCCCTGTGCCCTGTGATTCCCTTGTGGATCCAGGGTTGAGGAGTAGTCCTTAGAGGAAGGTGCCACCTGCTGCCTTCTTTGCAGCATGTGGGGCCTGATTCTTGCTGCTGTGTCACGGAAGGCTGAAATGATGGAGACCCAAGTGTTATGATTGTCGTGATGTTGTTTTCAAAGTGTCAGCGTTTCAGAATGACTACAAACATTGGATTCAACTGTCACAATGTGTATGTGGGTGGGTGTGTATTTAAAATTGTCATTAAGAGAGTACATAGAACCAATGTTATGTGCCAGATTTTAACGTTCTGAAAATYACGGATGAGTTCTCTTCTCCACGGTTTTAAATATAGTCATGAATGYCATCAGCCAGRMTGTATCACAGTCGCACAGCACTTTGCTCCTGTATCTCCCTCCTCTTGCTCCACCCCTCTTTTCCATTTTTTTTCCTACTTCTCCTGGAGCCAAGACGGGGTTCTGTGTAAGACGTGGGGAGAAACAGTTCTGTGTAAATTAGATTAGAAGCCACGGACCTTTCCTTGTATAGCCTGCGGTTTTGAGGTCTCTCCTCTTGCAGATGTCAGCTTGCTTTGAGGCACATCCAGCTGGGCTGGCCTGAGAGCTGCCTTCCTCTAGGCTTTGAGCATCCCCCCAGTCCTCCCACCACTTTTGATAGGTTTATGCTGGGGCAGCTGCCCTTTCCATTTGGGGATAGAAGGGGAACTGCCATGGGAGTGATCCGTAGCTAGGAGTGAAGGTAGGTTCTGAAGTGTTCTTGAGCCGTCTTTGGCCAGAGCCTGTCATCTGTGGATCCAGAGCCACAGAATGTCCAGTCAATTTGGGTCCTAGTAGCAGCTCTTTATTGAGAACTCATTGTGTGCCAGGCACRCAGTGCTAGGGACTTTATTGACATAGCCAGTTCTGATCCACAGCTASTTCTATGAATAGAACTTGTGTGCTTTTTCTACCAAACTGCTATGCCTGGCTACTGCTGAGTGGGGTACAAAAGGGAATGCCTCCTCCCACCTTTCGAGTAGCTCAGATGCAGTGTGCTGTGTTGGTGTATTAGTCGGTTTTCCATTACTATAACAAAAAGCCTGAGGCCGAGCACTGTGTTTTGAAAAAGGTTTATTTAGCTCACAGTTTTAAAGGCTGCAACTCGAAGAGTATTGGCCCCATGAGTTCTGCCTCTGTGATATTGCTCCATTACAACATGGTGGATGGCATCATGGCAAAAGCCTGTGCAAGAGGTCACATGGCAAGACAGGAGCCCAGAGACAAGGGAGAGGTTGATCTTGCTTTTTTTTATAAGGACCCACTCTTGTGGAACCAGTATTCCCCCTTCTTGGGCATTATCTCACACTAGGCCCTGTCTCTTAACGGTTCCACCACCCCTCACATCACCACACCGAGGACCAAGCTTCTAGCACATGGACCCTGGCAGGGTGGCTGAGGGACGGGACCACAGTGAAACCATATTCCAATCTAGAGCAGTTGGCATGTAGTGAGAAGTTCAGTTCACCATATTTTATCTGTGTCCCTGTGAAGGGATGCCATGTGACAGAGAATACGCAGAAGGCAGGCAGAAGTGACCTTGGAGAGCCATATCTCCGCCAGGAGGCCGGGGTCCCGGGCAAGTGGGAGCTGAGCGCGGCGGGGCGGCCTGTGGCTGTCCTGTTGCACGTTTCSCTGGGCACTGTCTGCTTCCCCCACTTGGCCAGTTGGTGGGAATCTGGGCGGCAGGGATCGTATCAGCGTGTGCTCAGCTCCAGCTGGCAGCAGCGTGTAGGAGCTCCGCTCTGCTCCCATTTATGGAGGGAAAGGAAGGAAGGAATGCTCCTTGGGATGGTGGCGGGGAGTAGTTACGTTTGAAAATGTAGAGCGTAGCCCCCCAGAAAGGGCCTCTCCCCGGCCAGCCTTCTAATTAAGGAAGAAACGTTCCATTTCAGCGAGATGGTGTGAGAAGGTTGCTTTCGTTTGTTTTCATCTGAATTTGTGCCAAGGGTTCAACTTTTCCGGCTCGTTCTGTTTAAAACTTTGTAAACAGCCATTAATAATTAGATCTAAAACTGCTGCCTAAATGACAGAGGGACTAAATGAAATTCACAAGGGTCAGCCGCCGAATAAGTAACAGGACCACGTCCTTGCACGATCAAATTCCCATATATGCAAATTAGAGACAGTGCTTTAACCACAGAGTGTTTTAATTAATATTTATAAATCACACAGAGCCTCTGAAAGGGCCAGTAAGCTATTTATATTATCATCGTGTCACACAAATGACAAACCCTCTGGAGATGGCGGCCTGTGTTTGGTCTGAAAAGTAATCGAGTGCGTTGTGTGTGTGTCTGCCTCTCCTGTAGGTGTGGTGTCAGCACAGCGGCAGGTCACAGTCCAGGAAGGACCCTTGTACCGAACAGAGGGCTCCCACATCACCATCTGGTGCAACGTGAGTGGCTACCAGGGACCCTCCGAGCAGAACTTCCAGTGGTCCATTTACCTGCCGTCCGCCCCAGAGCGGGAGGTGCAGATCGTCAGCACCGTGGACTCTTCTTTCCCCTACGCCATCTATACCCAGCGTGTCCGAGGTGGAAAGATCTACGTGGAGAGAGTCCAGGGGCACTCGGCTTTATTGCACATCACAGATCTCCAGGCCCGGGACGCTGGGGAGTATGAATGCCACACGCCCAACACYGACGAGCGCTACTTTGGGAGTTACAGTGCCAAGATGAACCTAGTGGGTAAGGAGATGCTGTTTYCATGTGGCCAGCGTTAGGCCTGAGTCCCCATGTCTCATACCGCGTGTTTGACTCTATCAGGACTCCCCGAATATTTTAGAGGTCGACAAGTGGCATATGTGAACAGAATTTCTGTGCTCGCTTGTAAATAATAGAATGCTGGTGCTAAAACTTAAAAGAGAGTTCTTGCAAAGATTATGCACTTCAGAGGCTGACCAGACCTCCAGCTGATGAAAGGGATTATGAAAAAATACAAGGCAAGGACTTTATAGGTGATGATGATATAGAAATGAGATAGAAGATAGAGGATATTACATCAGCCAGAAGGGAGGTAAAACCCCTCTAGGGACAAAAGAGAAGCTTCCCTTGCCCCCTCCAAAAGACAGATGAGTAGAATAGTTTTAGGAGGAGGTTTTCATGGGCATGAGGGTAAACTGGAGGAGAGTGACCACCCAGATAACCCAGGGAGGCCCAGATGCTTATGGGTCCTGCTTCACAGGGGAGAAGGAGATGGGGAATGAGGTAATTTTGAGGGGTCATAAGTGATTTTAGGTGAATGAACTGGCCAGTGTTCAGACAATAGTTGGTAAATTATTCTCCCTGGGAAGTGAGTGGGCCAAGACGACGGACAGTAGCTTGTGACAGAATCTGCCCAGGTGTGGGTGCATTCTTCCGTCTTCCTCCCTGTGGATGTGAGTTTAGTTAATGAAAACCCAGGGCAGGGACCAAAGGTAATTGCTTTCTTCTTTGGCAGGTCTTGATGCAGATAAGGGAATACCAGAGTATAACCTCTTGCAGCAGATGCTGCTTTCCCAGGGCCTTTCACTGAAAATAACCAGCATGGGAGGTGGCCCTATTTGGAGGGGGAGTTCCCTGGACTCTTTCAACTGTCAGAAAGGATGGCCCCTTTGGACAGGCTCTGAGATGCCCAGGTGCTGCTGAGTTAGGAAGAGAAAGCGGCTGCAGGTCCTTGCTCAGCCCTCTGGCTGCCCGAGTGAGGAGTTGTGAACCAGCCGTCTCCCTCCATGTGTGTTGAGTGACGGGGATGGCCCTGGCCACGGTTTTGCAAAGCTAGATTGAAAGGTTAACAAGATCAAGGCTGTTATTTCTCTGCTCGGGTCTTTAAATCTCTGTTTTTTTTTTTTTATTATCACAATGAAGCAGGAGTGTTGATGGTTCTTTGATTAACAGCAACGCGGAGTTTTGCTTGTTTTTTTTTCCTTCCCCAAATAACAGGAGGACTTTAAGACCCAGTTCTGAGATATACAGGGAGAAGATGCCACCCTGGTTGCGACTGGGGTGCCCTCATCAGAGAGAGGGGGGGTATTGAATCTCCAGTAAGATGTAAGGATCAGGGTCAAATTCCCACCAAGGGAAYGCAGGGCAGTCTCCTCACTTGCCTGAGTCCTTCCACACTATGGCTTCCTTCCAGTGTGGACCATTTGGGCTGAAAAATTATATGTGTGAAAAGTAGGGCCGGGCGTGTCGGCGCACACCTGTAATCCCAGGGGCTTGGGAAGCTCAGGCAGGAGGATCGATAGTTCAAAGCCAGCCCCAGCAAAATCGAGGCGCTAAGCAACTCGGTGAGACCCTGTCTCTTTATAAAATACTTGATAGGGCTGGGGATGGGGCTCAGTGGTTAAGTGTCCCAGAAATTGGGTTGGTGAGGATTTTCTCTGCAAAAATCAAAACAAAACCAAAGCTTTCCAAGGACAATGCGTTGTTGATTAAGTTGTGGAATAGAGAGGACAGTGAGTTGAGGAATAGGGAAAATGAGGCCAGCCTTTGCAATTACGCCAGGCCCTAGGCAATTTAGCAAGACCCTGTCTCAAAGTAAAAAGAGCAAGGGATGTGGCTCAGTGGTAAAACACTGCCAGGTTCAATCCCCAGTACTACTGAGTGGTTGGATAAAGGAAGGATATCAAAGCAATATGGAAATCAACAAGAAGTCTTAGCAGTCTTATCAGCTAGGTGTGGTGGTACACACCTGTAATCCCAGTGATTCAGGAGGCTGAGGCAGGAGGATTGCAAGTTCAAAGCCAGCCTCAGCAATTTCGTGAGGCCCTAAGCAACTTAGTAAGACTCCCTTTCAAAATAAAGTAAATAAAAGGGGGGATGCAGCTCAGTGGTTGAGTGCCCCTGGGTTCAATTCCTAGTAACTCCCCCCGCCAAAAAAAAAGCCTTATTAGACTTAAAAGAAAACTATTTTGACACATTATGTTTAGGAGAGTTAATTTATTACAGTTAATTAAACTGTTAAAGGTAAGTGTGATGTCCCCCTGCCCCCTGAGTGTGTTTCACAGTGAAACAGAAAACTCTTCCTGTGTATCGCCTTTCAGGGTTGTCTGTGGCCTTGGGACAACTGTCAGAGGCCGACTCTGTTGGGAACAGAGGAACAGTTGTGCCTGTGTACACAGAGCAGGGACCTTGCTTCCAGTGAGTCCCAGACGCTGTGGCTCGGTGTTGGCTCACTGTTGGCTCACTGTTGGGACGTTTTGTGTTGCAGTGATCCCAGACTCCCTGCAGACCACTGCCGTGCCCCAGACCCTGCACAAAGTGGAGCAGGATCCGCTGGAGCTCAGCTGCGAGGTGGCCACAGAGACGGTGCAACACAGCCACCTGTCTGTGACCTGGCTCCGGCAGAAGGGTGGCGAGAAGCCGGTGGAGGTCATTTCCCTGAGCCGGGACTTCATACTGCACTCCAGCAGCGAATACGCCCAGAGGCAGAGCCTGGGGGAGGTGCGGCTGGACAAGCTGGGGAGGACCACCTTCCGCCTCACCATCTTCCACCTGCAGCCTTCTGACCAGGGCGAGTTCTACTGCGAGGCCGCCGAGTGGATCCAGGATCCCGATGGGTCATGGTRTGCCATGACCCGGAAGCGCTCCGAGGGAGCCGTGGTCAACGTCCAGCCCACTGGTCAGTTTCTCTGAGCCTCTTGTCCCTATTTGTCACCTGGTAGCGAGCGAGGGTGGTCAGACACTGGGAGGGTGCGGGGACATCTTTGCTTCTCATGTGAAGTTAGAGATGATCTTGCCTGCAGCCGGAAGACACAGGGACATAGGTCTCCTGAGACCTGGTTTTCCAGCAAGTCCCAGACAGGTACTGCCCAGGCTGAATCCTGCCTGTTGTCCTGGTTTCTTTACCTACACGCTATTGTACATTTTTTTWAAAAAAAATATGGAATTCATTTTAAAAAATTGAGAAATCTCACAGAAAGTGATTCTACCTCATGACTCTGGCTCCCATTCCTGTTGAGCCACGTTCGATGCCCCTTCTTCAGGTACCGATTCATAGAAGACCCTGTGATCATGAGCCTTTCATTGGAGAATCATGAACTATAGAAATGTTGGCCTGACGTTATGACTTTTTATATGAATCTTTCTTTAGTGGTGGTGTTTTACCATTCCCAAACGGCTCTGTCATTTGTTGTCACGATCCCTCAACAGTTCTGTCCGGTGATTAGGTAGGAGCATTTCCAGTCCATAGGTGAGGATGTGGAGTACAGATCACTTTAGGGAGGGACCCCAGGAAGAGGCCACGGGTGTGTTGATGAGGCCCAAGAGCACCGTGTCCCACCAGAGATGCGTTCTCAAGGAAGACCTGGGTAGGGCCCCTCAGGAAGTTGGGTGATGGGTTGAAGACTGTGGCAAAGTGATGGTGGCCTGGTGAGCTGTACTGATCTCCGGCTTCTCTTGGTGTCTACCACTCTAGGCTCCTGAGCCTGCTAAGCTCCAGGTCAGAGCCAACAGCTATTGCTATGCCTGTTCGGGGCTGGGAGCCAGGATCTCATATGGGCCACCAGCCCCTGGCTTTGGTTGGAGGATGATCGTTAAGTATCCTGAGAGTGACAGTGGCCTGTGAGCCTTTCCTGTTGTTGACCCTCACCGCTGGTGAGGACTTTGGTGGTCCTGGTGAGGGAGTGGAGATTTGGGTTATAGATGGGCTTCTCTCWTCAAGACCTTCTCTTGACCTCTTTTCCCATTTGTTAGAGTCAGTTGTCTTGGTCCTGTGTGGTTCCTCTGACATTCAAGAGCAGTGCTTCAGACTCACCAAATTGGACCCTTTATGGGCTTCATCCCAGAATCTCGAACCAGGGGACCCTTGGGAGGGACCTGGGAAGCTGGGTTTCTGGTGCACTTCTCAGGTGATTCTTTGATTGTCTACAGTTTGTCAAGTACAGCTCTAGAGGGAATAGGGCAGAAGGGCTTCTCTGTACATTTATTTAGTGGGTTTGAAGACTTTTACCAAGGGGTTGGGTTCCTAGGCATGGAGCAGTTGATCCGCTCTGTAGGACCCAGGGCTTTTCGCCTCTTCTGGATCTTCTGAAGTTAAGAAGTCTACCAAAGGGGCTTTATTTCCTGTTTTGAATCTTAATGCTTTGAAATTAGGTTGCATCAGTTAATCTTCTTTATTTTAATCTTACCAATTTGGAATTAGGACTTTTAAAATTTGCCCTGCAAATGTATCTGAACTAAGCCAGCAAGGGGAAAATTAACAACACCAAAAGTCGATGACTTTGTGTTCCTGTTCAGGCTCAGTGGTTGCATGACTAACTTTGTCCTTTGCTTTGTTCACTTTAGTAAACATCAGTCAGTCTCTACAGCCCTGAAGTTGTGGTGCCAGGCCATAGGGGATGCAGAGATGAATAATACTTAGTCTCTGTACTTAGAGTACTTGCAGACCTGGGAACCAGTGGCCAAGGAGAAGGTGCTGAGTGCTCRATAGCATTTGCAGAATGCTCTGGAAACACAGTAAATGCAAAGATTTTTGCTGCTGTGATTTTTCCCTGGATGGAATATTGGTTAAGAAAAATCCAGTAAATTTGGTGACTTGATCTGTCTCAAAGCTTGAGGAGAAGACGGAAAGAGGAAGAATCTGAAGGCAAAGAATGATTTTTTTGGCAAGTGGAGAAAAGCCATGCATGACTAGATGTTGAGTCGTAGGTATGGGTGGTGGGAGAAGAAAGGAAAGGTAACCCAGGGCCCTAAATGCTGTGGTGTGGAACTTGGACTTGACTCTATGGACCAGGAGTTTCCAAGCCTGGTTCTTTCTTCTGGGAACTTTCAAGGGGAAGACACCAAGGAACCCCTGGGAGGTGCCTGAGAAGGTCTACCTAGTGTATGCACGTGTCCGTATGCATGTGTGTGCATCCTGGGGCTCCGGGGGAGGTGTGGGAGGGCCTGAGTCTTCTCCTGTTGCTTCAACCATGTTGGGCAGCCAAAAGATTTTATATGAAGAAAGGAGTTCCCCTTCCACTGCCTCCTCCTGATAAAATTTGAAAAGGGCTGGATAGAGATTAGTGACCGATTAGGGGACTGGAAGGAAGAACTCACGGGGCCCACCTGGAGGCTGCTCAGACAGGTTGGGTCTGAAGTCAAGAGACCTAGTAGGAAAGAGCTGTTACAGCTAGAGCAGCGGCAGTGGCCTGGAAGGGATGCCGTGACCAGAGGCAGAAGGATGGAGGACTTGATGGAGGGAGGAAGCCAGCCGGAGGGAGCCCTGCGGCTGGGCCTGGGGCTCCTGTGGTTCTGGGCACCGTGGGGAGGTAGGAGGAGGAAGCCAGGGTGACGAGACCTGCAGAGTCCTGCCTGAAAGTCGGTTGGGGTGATGCTGGCAGTTCTTTAGTCAAGGAGTCCATCCCTCAAACTCTCGGAGAGATGCTCAAAATGGAGAAGGAGGCCTGTGAGCGAGGAGGGCCCGGGGAAAGCCCATGTGGCCCCAGGAGGGAGAGGCTCAGGAGACCTGTAGAGGGGGTCCCTGGGGGGTCAAGGCTCGTTCCAGTGAGAGAGAAGACCAGAGTGTTCCGGCAAGCAGGAGGAGAAGCCGAGGGCCAGACGCCAAGGAACCCTAGGGACTCGGGGGGCTCCAGAGGCTGAAGCACACTTGAGAAGAGGCTTTGCTTAGGGTGGGGTGGGATGGGGTGAGCCACGGGGGCCATTGGCTAGGTCAGTTACTTGTGGGAGAAGGGCCAGAAGCCAAATTTCAGTGACCCGGACTCGAAAAAGCCTAAATTCATTACTGTCCATGTACTTGACCGGACATAACCGAAATCAGATTGCTCTTCCGAAAGGGGGCGGTGTTATGTATCTTCAACCCCTGAGCCAGGCGGGCATTCCCCTGGGATGCAAAGTCTTTGGCTGGCAAAAGAAGAAAGCCGGTTGCAGCCAGCCTGACCCAGGGCAAATGGAAATTTCTGAGGTCTAGGGACATGACCAGTGTGTCATGTCCACACTGGCGTGTATGTGGAAGGAGTGCTTTTTTTAGCATTGATGTTGGGTTATGAATCACTGTACTTGGGTTGACCAGAGGGCTAATAACAGAGCACATAGCATGGACGCAGTCCCACGTGGGTGTGCTCATGCGGGCAGACGGTGACAGAGTAGCCACGTCTTTTAATACTGGTTTCTTGGGAAGGGGACGCATCGGCAGGCACCGACATATTGGAGGTGAGCCCTGGAGTTGTGGAGTAGTTTTCTCTGTCAGGAGGTTTGAGTAAAGGCAGGAAGGAGTTAAGTCACTGCAGAGAAGGGATGTGCGGGGCAAGACACTGTCCCACACGGTGGGGGAGTGGGGATGGGGAACGGGCGGTTGCAGAGCTGAGCTGAACACTGAAGTATTTGGGTCACGATTCCTGTGTTTTCTCAGGGAAATGGGATTCTCTTCGGCTGAAAGAGTGGGTGGGATCAGGGACGAGTGAGGCAAGGGTCCTAAAGGTAGATGGTGGTTAAGACTGAACGCCATAGAGGGAGGGCAGTTCATGTCGAGACTATAAAGTCTACAGGGAATTCAAACAGCGGTGCGATGGGATTTCCCTTTGATGTTCTCTTTTGGAGGAAGGAGGGGAATTTGGGAGGTGGTCCCAGCCAGGGCTCTGTGACTCCATGTGACTCCATGTCCCAGGACAGAAGTCTCCTCCATCCCTCAACTCCTACGTCTTTCCCCTTACTTCTGTGTGGGTGCCTCTGAGATTGGATAGCAGCCTCGTGAGTTCACAACTCACTGTGCACCATCATATAGAATGTGGTCCCCATGACGAGCCCTTCTCGCATCTCTCCCCCGTGCCTGGTTGGACACCCAGCTCTTTGGAGAGTGCTTGGGTTCCCTGGCTACTTGGAAGGTGGTCTGGCTGTCAGTGGAAATGGGCACAGCCCACATTTAATCTGGCAGGTGATAGGCCAGCGAGAAGATGTTAGTTTTCATTTTCCCTGTGCCGTGCTGATGGGGTTTGTCTTATCCACGTCTTAATTCCAGTATTCACATGGGGGTTGAGAGAGAATTTCAGTAGATTCATTTTTTGAGTATTTATTGGGATTGGGGTCAGCACCTAGGCCGCTATAATTTTTTTCTCACCGACGTGTGAGATAAATCCTACAATATCTGCTGAAAATACTTGCAGTGGCATTGCTTCTGTGGCTATTCAAGGCAAGACCTTTGCAATCTGCCATTTGAGTGATATAGGAGCTCCTCTTGGGTTCTGGGGAGTCTAATCTAGGGCAGTATAAGCTTTGAACAGAGCCTCATTGGTCTTAACGGAGATAACAAACTCCTTGGAGTGTCTGGGTCTAGGGGGGACTCTGTGATATTCATGAGTTTCTTTGGGCCTCAGGTAACCTGGGTCTGAATTGAATTTTCTCTCAAGTGCCGGGGCCCTAGTGCACCATCATATAGAATGTGATATCATATAGATAACCCTGTGGTTAGCATTAAGAAGGGCCAAGGGAGTAGGGTTTTCCCAATGCAGTTTATCTGCAACCCTCGTTCTCCTAGAACAGTTCAGTCTTTTTTATTGTTATTTGTTTGTTCTCAGACAAAGAGTTCACCGTTCGGCTGGAAACGGACAAGCGGCTGCACACGGTGGGTGAGCCCGTGGAGTTCCGGTGCATCCTGGAGGCCCAGAACATTCCCGACCGTTACTTTGCTGTCTCCTGGGCCTTCAACAGCTCCCTCATCGCCAGCATGGGGCCCAACGCCGTGCCCATCCTCAACAGTGAATTTGCCCACCGGGAAGCCAGGGGACAGCTTAAAGTGGCCAAAGAGAGTGACAGTGTCTTTGTGCTGAAGATCTACCACCTCCGCCAGGAAGACAGCGGGAAATACAACTGTCGTGTGACCGAGCGGGAGAAGACGGTCACTGGGGAATTCATTGACAAGGAGAGCAAGCGTCCCAAGAACATTCCCATCATAGTCCTCCCCCTCAGTAAGTAGAGAGAGCTCTATGTGCTGGTTCCCGTTGGCCCTTGGTTCCGTGCCTGGAGCCACTTAGCAGGAGAGAGAATGCAGCTGGGGTGGGGGAGTGCGGGGAGGGTGGACTGCAGGTGGACTGCAGCGTTAGAGCAGAGCAGGAGAGAGCCCCTCGGAGACCCTCTGCCGCCGCCTGCCCACCTGCCACGCCCAGCAGGCCCCCAGGTCCACAGGCATCGGGCGTGTGTCTCAGCTGGAGATGGGCACCAGCAGAGCCGAGCTGGAGCAGCCCAGTGTAAACACCAGCCGTGCCAGCTCTGCTTGGAGAAGGACCAGGAATCCTGGAGAGCTGATAGCTCCTGAGTGGGAATGGCRTCCCGGAAGAAGTGGGTTGAGGCCCGTCTTGAAATCTCACCGAAGGAGAGTTGGTCTTTTAGGGGAGGATTTTAAATGATGAAGTGCATTCTTAAGAAGGACTCGCTGTCTGGGTTCTTCTAAGTATAAAGGTGGGCATTTCCCACTTGTTTCCTCCCTGGGTTGGAAATTGCTCAAAGTCAGCGGGTGGCGGAGGTGTCATTGCCCGCGCAAAGGAAAGGAGCAGTCAGCGGACGGAGGGTCTCTCATGTCCCTCCTGGAGCAGGCCTCGGAAAGCTCAGCCTCCGTGAGGCTGCTGCAACAGGCCCTGCCTCCGTGTAAGCTGGCGTTGTCCGGGTGGGGTGCAGCCCTTGCTGGGGACCCCGGAGACCACCCAGTGTCCATAGAGTCAGGTGGTTCTTATTAATCTCCTGTCTCTCGTAGTTCTGTTTAGTAGAAAGATAATAAAAACTTAACAATGCTCTGATTGTAAACAAGAGGATAAAGTGTTAAAAACTAACCTTTAACCTGTCCTTAGCTGCTCAAACTGTTCTTTCAGTCTTCTAATGATTTCCTTTACACTTTTATTTACACCTTTACATATTTAAGATATTTCTCTTCAAGTGGAAAGTCAAAAATAGACTTGGGATTTGCGATTTTTTTTTTTTCTTCTTCTCAACAGGGTTATTTTCTTTCATGCTTGTTGTGTTTTTAAAAACCACACAGGTACATACACACACACACACACACACAGACACACACCTAATTACCTTGAAATTCTTCTGTTTCTTTGACCTTTTCCCCTGTAATGCCTAGCATGGTGCTTTGCATAGAGTAGGTGCTTGCTGAATATTTGTATGGTTGAAACTGTGGAATTGAATGCCCACTCTTCTTTACCATTTTCCTGTCTGTCTGTGCTTGCCTTAACCACGGACTCTCTAAAATCTACGACTAATTCCTCCCTTATTAAGGACCCAGCGAAGGGCAGCCACACTGTTTACTTCCTGTATCTTTTGTACTGAAAGATTTCCCCCCACCCTTTCCAAGAACCTGTTTGATGATCTGTGGCCTGCTATATTGCTTTTCCAGCAGATAACTGGGTAGTTAAAGTCCCCCAGCACCACCAGATCCTGCCCCAAGGCCACTTGGGTAAGTCTACCAAAGAACAACAACAATCACATCGGTAATGGTGATGATACCTTGGATTTGAATGGCGCTTTTCCTCCCAAGAGTCCAACGTGATTCTGCTTAAATTATCTCCCTCTTTGCTCCCACCTCTTAAATCCCTGTGGAGGCCGATATTCTATCCATCCTGTGATACAAAGCAGTCAGAGCAGCACACAGAGAAGGGACTGAGCCCATTGTCCACTCAGGGGTTAAGCTTGCATTGCGTGAGAGACATTCGCTTCTAACTCCAGATCCACCGCTCTGCGCTTGGCCTGTGCTACACCGTCAGCCTCCTGTTTTGAAGTTTTCATTTTTGAACCTGCACTCAGATCCTCATTAGTTCCGTCCTAGTTTTCACCTAATCCAGAGAGTTTTAACTTGTCGGTTGCCTTTTTATAGGCCTTGGAGTCCTTGTAAACAGTCAGAACGGGCATCACGGCAACAGGTCTGTGCTCACCTTTGCCTCGCCTGCCAGAGTGGCTTTCCTCCACCAAACCGTGTGGTTTTCCAGCCTTGCTCCACACAATAGCCAGAACTTGAACCAGAGTCCACTGGGGTGACCTTAGGGTTAAGAGTGACATCCTGCAAACCATTCTTCTGCATGAGACAAACAAAAGGATGTTCTCTCTCGATGCTGAAGATGACCTTTCATCCCTTACTTTGTAATCAACAACAGTGGGGATGAGCTTTGAACCTAAAAGGGAATATTGTTATCATTAATGATGATGAAAAATAAGTACCTCTTCTCCCTCTCAGCATCTTGACCCCAAGAAGTAGGCACGATTAGCATCTTCACTGTGTACATGAGAAATCAAGAGTTTGAGTGGGTTACGAAACAACACCGGGCTTACAGAGTCAGGAAGTCGTGAGCTTAGCCAGATCCATGCTTTTAACCACCAGTGCTGTGGCTCTGCAGGAGCCTCCTCATCTCCAGGAATTGTCTCTGCAAGACCCTCGAGGGAAGTTGCCCTCCTGGGAAATTGCTATCCTCCCCACCTGTCCAGCACCCCTCACCACACCCCCCTCCCATGTAAAACAAGCAAATCCAGAATAGGTAGCAAGCACAAGCACTGTAACAGAAGCRCAATGCTGAGCCTCAGCGCTCATCTTTGTCTTTTTCTGCCTATGGGAGACATAAAGAGGAGAAAAGATTGATTCAAATGCATTGTTATGGGTACGTGTGTGTTTCCCTCGGTAATTGGGTGCGCTTCTTAATCGGGGATTTGATTGAATTGATTGKTTTAAAATCACTGTGCATGTTTTGTGTGAGTGGTCTCCAGAAAACTGGAGCCAAATTAGTTATGGCGCTGCACTTTGTGTTCCTTAATACTTATAGGCCTTTTGAACTCACTGTAGATAATCGTATAAAATAGYCGTATGCACCATTCACATAGATGAAAATGTACATGCTATTTACGAAAACAAGGAGTTTTTGCAAAGGAGTAAAATTAATCATGATCACGGTGGGCACTTTTGAAAAGCTGCTCTGTTAGGTGATCTATAGGCCTTGTCTCATTTACTTTTTACTATTTAAAAATTCTACAATTACAGGTAGCATTCTACCTGTCTTACCAAAGAAGCGATGGAGGCAGGTAGAGTTTAAGTTATTCAGCTGAGTGAGATCGGCTGGCTAAGTGAGTCGCTAGACTGAGGTGGGAAGGGAATGGGATTGTCTTCCCAACTTTGATTGGCCGAGTCTTTCGAGGTAGGGAGCAGAGGAACCCCAGGGCTGAATGAGGACAGGGAAGAGAACAGTAGATGACAAGCCCCTGGCTTTGGTTTATTCCTCTGTGTTGATGAAAGTATGAAAGCTCACCCCGTGCACTCTGTTAAACTAGACCATCTGTGCTCCGTTATTATCCACCCTCAAGCACATGCCATCTTCCAGATACTTCCTGACATTTTTTTTTCCACTTCCTAATATTATCCTGAAGGACTCAAACGGCACATTGTGGATATTTAACTTTGATTTGACTGCTGTAGCACAGGTTGGTGGGAAGACCGAAGTGCAGCACGATTTGGGACTTCCTCATCTTGCTAAATATACAAGTTAAAAGTCCTAAACTCCAGCTGAAGAGGTTACCCCCATACATTGTTTTATGCCTTAAAGGTCATGTCATTGTACTGTAATTCGGTCTCAGGTCCCAGAACCTCATTATCCCAGTTCTCTGTATGTGGCAAAGAGCATCCTGGGTCATCAGATCTAGAGTCACAGGAGCAGTACCCAGAAAGAGCCAGGTTATGTAGCAGCGAGTGTCACAGTATTTTTATTCTCCGTCAACAAGCATGATTGCCTTTGCCCCTCTCCTCCGGTGGCATCTTGTGGGGAGGGCACCGTGGAGACCATAAAGCCCCCAGCGTGGCCCTCTCTCCTCTCCACAGAGAGCAGCATCTCCGTGGAGGTGGCCAGCAACGCCAGCATCGTCCTTGAGGGCGAGGACCTGCACTTCTCCTGCAGTGTCCGCACAGCCGGCAAGCTGCAGGGCCGCTTCTCTGTCATCTGGCAGCTCGTGGACAGGCAGAACCGCCGCAGCAACATCATGTGGCTGGACCGYGATGGCACCGTGCAGCCAGGCTCGTCCTACTGGGAGCGCAGCAGCTTTGGGGGCATCCAGATGGAGCAGGTGCAGCCCAACTCCTTCAGCCTGGGCATCTTCAACAGCAGGAAGGAGGACGAGGGCCAGTATGAGTGCCACGTGACCGAATGGGTGCGGGCGGTGGACGGCGAGTGGCAGATCGTGGGGGAGCGCCGAGCCAGCACTCTGGTCTCCATCACTGCTCTCGGTAAGCGAGTCCCGGGTGGTTATGGAGGCTGCTCTGCTGTTCAGCACTTCACCTCGACTTTTATCGGTCTGGAGTTCTCGTAGGGAGGCAATGGCACTTCAAGAGTCCTTGATTGAAGGGAGTCTTCGGGGTGGTAGTAACGAAGGTTGAGAGGACCAGCAATGGGTGGGAGAGCTCCTGGGGCCCACAGTTGCTGGGAGCAGTTACCCATCCTGGGACCGGGTGGTGGGGAGGGGTGTTATCAGTATTCTAGCCAGGTTAGTGTCACCACCCAAGAGGAACATGGCCACTGCCTAAACTGGCCTTGCAGAGGAGAGGAGCCCTCAAAGTGGTACAGCTGGGTAGAAAACCCCACGTCGCCATTTATTTGGCATTTACTCTGTGTATGGCTGAGTCTAGGCATTTGAGCTTCATTGTCCCCCTGAATCCTCACCTAGCCAAAGGGGGACATGTTCATTTTACAAGGAAATGGAGAKGAGGACAAGCTCGTTTGCCCAAGCTGGTGGCTTTTCGATGACCAACCCACAGTCTGAACTCAGGAAACAAACATTTCTGTCTTAATATTTTTCAAGGTCTGTGTTTTTTTTGTTTTTGTTTTTTGTATCTGTTCCTCTCTAAGGCCCCTACTTAAGAAAGCCATTTCCTCATTGCAYGAAAAGATATCTTGAGATTTGCTAAAACCAAAGAATATTAGATTTGCTTCTCAGGGGGTGGTTAAAGAGCACTTCTGTCAACTTTTATCTGTCAAAGCCAATCAGCATATTGAATTTTAAAAGACCAGCCTGCTCCTTTGCCGGGAAGATAACGTGGCGTGGCACATCTTCTGTTTACCAGGAAGCTGGCCTCCGTGAATCCTCAGCAAAACTTTACGTGCCATTTCTGGGGACCATGTCACTGTGTTCCCACAGGGAGGGCTGGTGGCACTGTTGGAACACCCAGTAAAGAGCAGCCCCAATGGATTAGCCTGATACCAAGTCCTCCACTTTCTCATCCCTCTGAGATTAGGATTACATTTGTTTTTATAAGCTTAATTCCAAAGGTGGACCTGCTGTCTGTAATAACCAARCAGCTAGGATTTCTGCCTCCCAGAACTCCTCTAGTGACCGAGTTTCCTAGTCATTGCTGCCCTATGCTCAGCACTAGATTGGACCTTTGGAGACAGAACTTTGGGTAAAGCTCCAGGCATCCGCACTGATGTTTCTCCCCATCCACGGTCCTGTGAGGTTTTAGATGTCTGAGGAGTGGTTGGAGTTAGGACTGTTTCTCTAGAGGTCATTTCACGGTATCAGGTCATGCCCAGAGTGATTTCAAACTCACCACGTGTCTGGCCAGTCCCACAGCCAGGTCATACTGAGCAGCCTACCCTGGGCTCCGGTGCCTCAAAATGCCTCTGGCTAAAGCCACATCAGTGCAGACCAAAGAGGTGGATTAGAAAAGTGCAGGAGGGGTCCCCTGGACTAAGGTTGTCTCTTTAGTCTAAAATAAACAATGACCCACACACAGATTTTCACATTGGTACAACTAGGGTGTGGATCTGCTCAGCCGGGAGGTGGCAGCCRCAAGGTTGTGGATGAGGTTGTAAGCGGGGCATCTTCCCCTCGCCTGCGGGCCTCAAGACTGCTCAGGTAGGGCGGCTTGGATACTGTGGCACTGTGACCATGGTGTGCCAAGCAGAGCTTGTCCCCCAAGGCCCTGTTCTACATCACTCTTGTGATAACATGCAACACACAGGTTATAGCCATTTAGTGTTTAAGGATGGGCCTCTGAGACTGAAATCTTTCTTTTAAGAATATATAGTAGGAAATCCAAATTGAAGATCCAGAGTTCTCAGCAAACTTTGCCTCGTTATTCACTGACGATCACCCATAGAAAGCCCAAAGGTTCATTCTGTATGTCCACTTTCACCTATGGATTTTAAAGTACTTGATTTGCTATCTGTTTTGTTTCCTGAACAAAACACATATTTAACAAAATAGGTACCCTGTGTCAGAAACTATCCAAGTATTTTACAAATACTTCTTTGTTTAACTTTCACAAACCCATTTTACGTATGAGGAAACAGAGGCAGAGAGAAGCTAAGTAACTTGTGTAATGTCACACAGCAGGGAGGTAGGTCTCACAGTCAGAAGGCTGGCTCCAGAGTCTGTGCGTTTAACTACTGTGTTACGCCTCCCATGGGTACAGCAACCTCAAAAGGCCCCCGGAATCAGTACAGTCAGGTCTGCAGCCTGATGGTGCTATTTACTAGCATTTTCACTTTGGGCAGTTTAATTTCATTGTGCCCTGCAAACAGGGACAGTAAGCCTACCTGTCCTGCAAGGTTGATTCAGTGAAATGTGTGAGCAAAGCACTGGGCACTATGCCTGGCATGTAGATGGTGCTCGATACMTACCGGAGGCTCTTAGATCCATGATTTCAATGGTACTCTAATAGGAACTAGTATTTCCAGACTGAAGGGACTCTGAAGATCCTGATTGAGGTGTGACCATTAGGGATTAGTCACGCTCCCTCATTCTGTAGGGAGTGTCCAAACTCACCAGCTTACTGAGATTGCAAACCCTGAATTCAGGACCATTGTCACCACCTGCTGAAGATCATTCCCTCCTGCTGGGCATCTCTTACTGCCTCCCTGCTCCTGGACTTTGTGGGGGAAGTGGAGCAGGAGCTGGGGGCCTCTGTCTGCCTCCCTTCCAGGCCACCCATGCACTAGGGGGCTAGGGAAAGATGTCCAGGTGGGTGGGTGGGTGTGCASTTCTTGCCAGCAATGAAGAAAATTGGCTTTGGAGCTTTTTTGATCCTATTTTTGCACACAATTCTGGGATTTCAAGGAATGGCCCTGGCTACATGGAATCAGCACCCCCCCGCCCCCCAGCAAATGATAGCATCCAAYTCTAGAGGGAGGTCTAATGCAAATCCATGTGACAGTCTCCGGAAAGGGTCGGGGTTCTAGACCTCTTTCTGTGAGTTCTTGTAAATTGTCAGTTTGTGCCTCCGTAGGACATAGAGTTCTATAAACCCTCACGTGAAAAGAATGTTCCAAAGAGAGCTGGTGAGCCTCGTCTTTGCCAGGCGCGCCACTGCTGAGGTCACACTGCCCCAGGAAAGCCAGGGGCCTCCTCTGGCTGACTCTCTGCTCTCTTCTCCAGAAACGGGCTTTGCGGTCACAGCCATCTCCCGGACGCCAGGGGTGACCTACAGCGACTCCTTTGACTTGCAGTGCATCATCAAACCCCACTACCCGGCCCGGGTCCCCGTGTCGGTGACGTGGCGGTTCCAGCCCGTGGGCACTGTTGAGTTCCATGACCTGGTGACCTTCACGCGGGATGGAGGGGTCCAGTGGGGGGACAGGTCCTCCAGCTTCCGAACCCGGACCGCCATCGAGAAGGCCGAGTCCAGCAACAACGTCCGCCTGAGCATCAGCCGGGCCAGTGACACAGAGGCGGGCAAGTACCAGTGCGTGGCTGAACTGTGGAGGAGGAACTACAACAACACGTGGACGCGGCTGGCGGAGAGGACCTCCAACCTGCTGGAGATCCGCGTGCTGCAGCCAGGTGGGTGCTGCCGGCCCAGGGCGTCCCTGTTATAGGACCTGTGGGACGTGCACTTGCACCATGTGTGAGACTTTTGTTCTTGGAAAACACATTGTTACTTTTTGATTTGTTCTTTTTAGATATTCATGGCAGTGGGGGGTATTTTGACATACAGACTTGGGACTATCCCTTCCCGTTCTCGTGGTTATGCATGATGTGGAGTTACACTGTCGTCTGTTCACACATGAACATAGGAAAGCGAACAACGTGAGATTTGAGGACCTGAGCTTGCATGACACAGGAGACCCGTGAGGAGGGACAGTACGTGTGGGTTGAGCCCTGCCATAGCTTCAGTTTCCCAACTCAGAGAAATTTCAAGTCAATAAGAAGTGTTGCAAGAATTGTGCAAGGAACCCTAATCTTCTCTTTCCTTGATGGCCAGTTCATGATGTCCCACCACACTTGTGTTGTCCCTCTTAGTATATTTTGGTTGTTTCTGAACCACTTGAGGGTAAGTAGTAGACATCAGGACACGTCCCCCTGAATACTCTGGCWTGTAACTCTAAGAACAAGACGTCGTCCTACCCAACCCCAACACCACTGCCACACTGTGGTTATTGAGCCTTAGAGAGTGGTTCCTTACTTACCTTTCTCCAGTTGTCCCAATATTGCCCTCAGTGAGCTTGTATCAGATTTAGTTGTCCTGTCTCTTTAGACTCTTAATCTAGACCAATTCCCCTTCTTTTGTGTGGTGTGTAGGTGTGTGTGTGTGTGTGTGTGTGTGTGTGTGTGTGTGTAGATACTGACCTTTGTGGAGTCTGCAGGCCAGTTGTTTTCTGGAAATCTCCATCTCTTTACTCAACCTTATCTCCTATAGTCTTTGCAACAATTGTGTAAATGAGATATCATTGTCCTCTGTTTGTAAACAAGGAATTCAGAGGGGAAAGGAAAGGGGATGGGCTTTTTTTTGAGCATCTGCTTCATGCTAGGTGCTAGTSATCAGTTACTTTCTGAGAACTTCACAACCTTGGGAAGGATGCATTAGCCTAAGGTCTCCTAGCTGGTCAGTGGTGGAGGTGGGATTGAACTCCTGTGGTCTTTTGTCTGTAATGTTTCCTTAACCCAGGTCCTCTCGGTGAGTTCCTTATCCCGTGGAGTGTGAGACTCTCAAAGTAGAGATAAGTAGAGTTTGGGGGTTTCTGCCATCTCCCACCTCGGGGCCTTCCGTGAACATGGGGTGGTAGCTCAGTATGTCCTGCTCTGTGGGCTTTCCCCGTCCTCCTGGTGGCCTGCCAGGTTAGAGGCTGGTGGAGGGGGAGCCCAGGCTGCAGGCTCCTGCATGCCTCCCGTTGTCCAGCCCGTACGCAGGGTAGAACAGGCACCCACACACTGAAAGGTGAGAGTGGACCTTGGCAAAGACTTTTTTTGTGACTTTCTGCCCCAACCATTTTGCAAAGATGATTTAAATGCCTTGGATTTTTATTTTTTTCTGCCCACTAAGAGCTGTGATTAGTGCCCTACCTGATCTGCTGGCTGACTTTGGATAGCCACAGGGTTGTTTTCAGCCGTGYGAGGTTAAATAATGGTGATGTCTGCGTTTTTCCTTCCCCGTCTTCTGTCGCCATAACAGAGGCCTGTTCTGGACCGGTCTTGTAACAAGCGAGTTGTCTAGATGATGAGATGTTCCCGGGTCAATTAGAGCCTGAGGCCGGGCTGAGAAGGGCCGGGGAGAAGATGTTCTTAAGTGGCGTCGCAGGTTAATGGCAGGTTAAGCGGGACACGTTTGATGTGCGCCCTTGTTGAGGAAGCTCTGCGGCCCCCACTTGCCCGCCCTATGGAAGAGAAYATTGGGATCATAATTGTGCCTTTTGTTGTCTCCCCTGTCACTCAAGGTCTGTGTTCTGAGCAGCAGTGGCTGTCACATCGTCCTGTAGCTGTGGAAGGTAGAGCTGAGGCTCCCAAGACCTTGCCTGTCATGGCCTCTCTAAGCCCCTGATATTTGCTCCTTTCTGTTGCGACTGGGACTCTTAAGTCTGAGTGCCTCAGGGATAAATATAGCGCTGGGTCATGGAAGGCTCTCATTATTTGGATTCTGATTAATTCACAGTAGCGCTAAAAATAGAAAGGGGGCAGAAATGAATGAAGGTCCACCTGGGCGCCAGGCTCTGTGCTAAATACTTACACTTTCTTTTTAAACTCATCCCACAGGCTGATCGTGTGGATGTCTGGGTCCCCATTTTGCTAGAGAGGAAACCCAGGGGCTCGGAGCCCTGATGGAGCCACCAGCTCCTKAAATGGCAGAACCGAGAGGCTTGAACTGAGATGGGAGCCCGGGTCCCTCTGACTTGTGCACATTTGCATTTTCCATCCTAACCGTTCCATCGCCTCCTAACAGAAAAGTAGCTGGAGATGCAGAGGCCCAGCCTCTGCTCCCAGGACGTGCCCTGAGCCTTGTATCTGTCAGGGTGGCTTCTGTTTGTGTTTTCACTGTGCGGTGAGGACCCGCAGTGGCTGGCCCAGGGGACTTTTGAGCATCCCTGGGCTCATAATGCTGCGAGCCCTCTGCTTTTCTAAAGGTGCGCCGTGTAGTTCACTTTCCTGACCCTCTGGAGGCTGGGAAGAGCAAAGGCAGGAGCTCSAGGCCCCTCTTGACTCCCAGCGTGGCTGAGGCACCAGGGAGAGTGCGTGCTCTTAAGTGTTGCTGTCTCTCCTTATCAAATATTTATACAGTTAGCACTTAATATTTTCCAAAGAGCTTCACGTCCATTTCTCCTCTTTTTCCTAAATATGCTGGTTGGGACTGGTGTTTTTATGTTTTGGGGACATAAAAGTGGAAAAGGACGTGAAGGCTGACTGTGTGCCAGAGACAGTACTGAACGCTTGGTGTGTATTATCTCACTGAGTCTTCACAGCAAGCGTGAAGATCCTGTATGATAAACRAAGTAGCAGAGGCTCAGAGAGATTCTAACTTGCCCAAGTCAGATAAGCAGTGGGTGGGGAGGCTAGGGTTTGAATGTGGGTGTGTCTTATTAAGAGCACTCAGGGTGGGAGGAGTGGGACCCCTCCTGAAGCCTTATAATCACATGTTACGTCTTCTGCATTCAGCTGGTGGCACTCTTTATAGAAGACGCTTCCCCTCTCCTATAGGGGTCGCTCGTGCAGAAGAGTCTTGTCACTGGTGAGGCTAGCGGTCACAACAGCAGTGGCACCAACGGCAGCTGGTGACTTTCACCATTTCTTGTGTGGCCATCACCATCCCAAGTGCTTTGCATGCAGCATCTTACTTAATTCTTTCTTACTCTGTGCACGGCCGCCGGGGATACTGCCTTACCCATTTTACAGAAGAGGACGGTGCAATAGGGGTTAAATAAATAACCCAGTGATTCATAATAACGGGCAGAGCCAGGATTTCAATCTGGACAGGCAGTCTGGAATCCCAAGTGCTTCATTTTATTGTTTTATGGACTTTCTAGACAAAGTACCATATATTTATTTAATTATTTTAGGAATCCTTTGGCACCACGTACTGTGTGTGTATGTGTGTGTGTGTGTGTGTGTGTGTGTGTGTGTGCACGTGCCTGAGAGCACACATGCTGGGGAGGGAACCCAGGGCTGTGTGAGTGCTAGGCGTGCCCTCCACCACTGAGCTACACCCTAGCACCATGTATTTCTATTTACCATTTCCTCTCTCTGGTTTACCATCTTGATTCCCCCCCCCCTTAAATTTGTTTTGTAGAAGTTGGGGTCACACAGCACTCAGAGAGCTTCCTCAGGAAACAGGTTGCTAATGGCAGAGACGTTTCATCTGTGCCCCTGCAAGCTCCCTTGTTTCTTCTAGCTTCTGCCACAAGGTGGCTCTAAGGCTTGGCCATATCGGAGCCCCCGAACAGTGCCAGCCTCCCTTCCCTCCACCGCCCCTGCATACCTTGCTCCCCAAAACATGAATTCTTGGCCCTGCTCTGACATCTTCTATAGAAATGTCTCCTGTCCTTTGCCCCCCACCTTTAAAAGAATACTCTGTCGAATACTTTTATTCTGAGAGAATCAGTAGAAACCCAGGGGCTGGTGAGTGACTCAGGTTGGTCCATTTGTCATTGGCTTTGCTGCTATGATGTCATTGCCCCCRGCAAGCCTCTGTGTGGCCTGTGCCCCGCTGGTCCCTGCCAGGGCCACCTGCTGATCCTGACCACATCGCCGGTATTTGCCGGTATTTGATTCTTCAGAACCTGGGGTGGGTCGACTTGCTGTGGCTCTTTTACCGCCTGCCCCTTGGCATTGCTGATCCCTGGACACATCCTCAGCGAAGTCTTCAGGGAGCGAAGGCCTCCCTCTCTCTTTTTGTTGCTGATTAAGCTCTGGCTTACTTGCCTTGATCTGCACAGTGTGACCCCCACGGGGCATTTAGGCAAGACTTTTAGCCAGGTTGGCATACTCTATTCTTAATTCTCAATCAGTTCTTTTCTCTTTTAATTGTGAAGCATCACCTTGCTTCCTTCTGATTTTCCTTCGTTCCAAAAAACACCCTCCAATTACACATGGCTAAATACAGAAGCAATAAGGGAAATGTCAGCCCTCATTTTTCCAAATGTTTACGACCGTACCTTGGCCTGGCTATTAAACATTGCACATTAAAATCGACAAAGCAATAAACAGGCTTCCAGGAGGACAGCCTCCGGTGGTAGAAAGCCGACTTGTCGGTGGGTATACTCTGCTGGGATTTTACTGATGGGTAGTCGGGATGAATATTTAATACCCTCTGGATGTTGCCAAATCCTTTTCCTTCTGTTTCTTATTGCTGACCTGGCAGAGGAGGTTAGCTGAGGGCCTTTTCTTTGACTTCCAGGAGTCCAGGCCACTTGAACACTGGCTCTCATTATCACAGTGCAGTAGGGACTGGCTGCCCCGTCCCTCCCCAGAGTGGCCCCTGCTTTCTTTCAGGGAAGCCTGGGGTTCTCCTTCCGTTCCCTGTGGCTTGTGCCTGGCGTCTGCATAGAGAGAGACTGGCCCTCTCCCTGTGCCTC